AGCGCAAGCGATTGGAAAGGGAAGTACGAAAATTAAAGGAGCAGGAGCTGCAACAAAAAAGGTTTGTAAATAATATATGTATTCATAAGGAAATAAAACGACAATACCAATATTGTATTAAATTGTAGATTTCAAAATTTGCTTTGAAAGAATGTCCATAAATGTGACCATTTATTTCAAAACACGTATGTACAAGTAAAAAAAAATATAACCATACAAGTTAAAAAGGTCATTCGAGAACGGAAAAAATTTTAGTAATCTTATTGAGTCGAAGAAATATAAGTAGCAACGGCTTCGAAATTTTCTATCGAAGGCTTTAATTATTATTATTTTTAAGTATTTATGTATGTACACACTTACAGTATTCACCGCTTAATCGAACTATAAATTCTGCAATTTTTGAAGTGCAACTAAGCGGAAAATTGTGTACGTAAACATTCTAGTTTGCGTGTTTTACGATGTGAATACTCCTAAGGAAAATGATTAATATTTACTTAAAAATTTCACTGTTGCGCCCTGTGGTGGAAGTATTAAGAAAAGGATAAGTGCAGAAATGGATTCCTCATGCCAAATAACCCCTTATAGCATGTTTGTATGCAAACTTTAAGCGCTTCTTTACCTTTACGGCACTACAGCAAAATGATTTTATACTTATAGTTTCTTCGGCAAATTTCCTTCTGTGCTATACGCGCATAGTTGAAAAAATCTCTCATACAAGTTGACCCGCCGTAATATACATAATTCAAGAAAGCATACCTCGAAAAAAGCGGCTTTAAACCCAATGGGAAAATGGGAGTGCATTACTTTTTCTATCAATAACTACGGTTGAACAAAAGGATGAATAGCAATATAAGCGAGCGGATGATGTGTAGTTCTGAAGCCACAAAAAAAAAGTAAAAGGTTTGAAAACTAACTCAAGTATGTTTTTTTGTCCTCGTTATCTCAACAGCTGCTGTAGCCGGATGGATGCGTGTTCAAAACCTGTGGCACAGACTGTATTTTTATTTTTATTCTATTTTTTAGTTTCGTTGGCTTTAGGAAATGATTGCATCTTTTCGTTACTTTTTGCATTCCCAGACATTACCTTTTCCCATTGGATTGTTCTAGTGAGTTACTAGTAGGAGAGGTAGCTGTAATTTCGCATAATAATAATAACTAGTGAACCCGCATGGCATCAAAACGCCAACATTTAATTAAACTTTTTAAACAGGTGAAACCCTATTCAAAAACCTCTAAAAATATTCCTAATGATTAATCTAAACCATTTCTCAGTGATGAGAGGTCTCGCACGGTGTCGGTTTTCATTTCATCAAGTTTCAAATCACCCTGTAACTTCAAACAATAAAACCTGTGCACATCTATGTAGAATCCCAGTTCTTTAAACTGACTTCTCATTTTGGAAATTCGAAATAACGGTGCAGATGTGATGAC